CCGGACACGCAGGCTCAGTGGCCATGGCTCACGGGCCCAGCCGCTCTGCGGCATGTGGGATCTTCCCGGACCAGGGCACGAGCCCGTGTCCCCTGCATCGGCAGGCGGACTCTCAACCACTGCGCCACCAGGGAAGCCCATGCTGCATAATATTTTATCCCATGAGTATATCATGGTTTATAGATACATTCTCAATACGTCAGCAACAACATTTGGGTTGTTTCCAGCTTTTCTTTCTTTTTTTTCCCTCCCTTCACTTTTATGTTATTACAAACAGTGCTGCTGTAGTTCTTCATACACTTGTGTCCAGCAGTATATGTGCAAAAGCTAGTCTGAGGTGTAACACCCAGGAGTGGGGCGTAGGATATGTGCATCTTTTAAGACATTGCCAAATTGTTCCTCAAAGTTATCTTAACAATTGAGTTCCCAGCAGCAATGTATAAGAGCTTCCATTTTTTCTATATCCATGTCAACATTTGACATTATCAGACTTTAATTTTGGCAATCTTTTGGACGTATTCTGCATAGTGTATCTCACTGGTGTTTTAATTTGCATTTTTCCTGATTACTAATGAGGTTCACTATTTTTCATTTGTTTAGTAACTTTTTTTGTTTTTTTTCCTTTAAAATTTATTTATTTATTTTTGGCTGTGTTGGGTCTTCGTTTCTGTGCGAGGGCTTTCGCTAGTTGCGGTGAGCAGGGGCCACTCTTCATCGCGGTGCGTGGGCCTCTCACTATCGCGGCCTCTCTTGTTGCGGAGCACAGGCTCCAGATGCGCAGGCTCAGTAGTTGTGGCTCACAGGCCCAGTTGCTCCGCGGCATGTGGGATACTCCCAGACCAGGGCTCGAACCCGTGTCCCCTGCATTGGCAGGCAGATTCTCAACCACTGCGTCACCAGGGAAGCCCTAGTAACTGTTTTTGGTTCCTCTTTTGTGAAATACTTGATCATCAATTTTGCCTATTTTTATATTAGTTTGCTTTTCTCCTACTGCTTTTTAGGCATTCTCTGTTTATTGGACATTAATCCTTTATTGACTGTGCTACAAGCATCTTCTCCCACTCTGGTTTTACTTTTCGTTCTTTTCAGGATGTCTTGGGATAAAAAGAAATCCTTAATTTGAATGTAGTTAAGTTTATTTGTCTTTTCCTTTCCATTGTTCCCAAATTTGGATCACTTGTTCTTCCTGCACAGTTTATTGAAGGAGTTGGTCCTGTCCCCACTGCTCTGCAGTGTCTCCTCTGTCGTAGCAAGTGTCAGTGTGTGTGGATCTTTTTCCAAGCTCTGTTCAATCCTATTCCTTCCGCTGCAATCGAATCTGCGGTTTAACTTGCCCATTTAATTTTTGATTTCATTAAAAGTGTTTTTCTAGATGTTCTAGATGTTTCTTTTTCAAATCTTCGTGGTTATTTTAATGGTCATTAGTTCCTCTCTCATACTTTTTTTTTTTTTTTTTGCGGTACGCGGGCCTCTCACTGTTGTGGCCTCTCCCGTTGCGGGGCACAGGCTCCGGACGCGCAGGCTCAGCTGCCATGGCTCAAGGGCCCAGCCGCTCCGCCGCATGTGGGATCTTCCGGGACCAGGGCACGAACCCGTGTCCCCTGCATTGGCAGGCGGACTCTCAACCACTGCGCCACCAGGGAAGCCCTCTCTCTCATACTTTTGATAGTCTTTTATTTCTTTAAACTTATTGAAATTGTTTCAAAACTGCCTGAACTGAAAATTAGTCACTGGGTAATTTATTTTACAGATAGACTTGCACACATGCCAAATGATATATGGACACGGTTATTCATCCCAACATTATTTATGAGAATAGCAAAAGATTGGAAACACCCTAAATGTTCATCAATTGGGGTGGTTAAATAAACTATTATACATCCATACAAAAGAGAATCAATACAGAAGAAAGGAAGGAAGAGAGAAAGGATGCTCTTAAGGTACTGATCTAAATATAGATTCCAAAAAGCAAGGTGCAGAACAGTCTGCTACCTTTTGGGTAAAACAAGTGGACAATTGGAATCTATAAAATGCAAATACAGGTTCCTGTTGTCCACAGCATTGATATAGAAAAATCCATAGCTGTCATATCTACCATCGCTACTCCTATGAAACAAACAAACAAACAAAAAAACCCTGGTCTTGGGCTTCCCTGCTGGCGCAGCGGTTGAGCGTCCGCCTGCCGATGCAGGGGACATGGGTTCGTGCCCCGGTCCGGGAGGATCCCACATGCCGCGGAGCGGCTGGGCCCGTGAGCCATGGCCGCTGAGCCTGCGCGTCCGGAGCCTGTGCTCCGCAACGGGAGAGGCCACAACAGTGAGAGGCCCGCGTACCGGAAAAAAAAAAAAAAAAAAACCCTGGTCTTCAACAGCCCTGGGGCAAGTTCTGAGTCACTAGGAAATCGTTAGGGCTGGTGAATCTAGGGGTCTTTGGTGGTCCTAAGAGTGTCCAGAGATATTTGGGGGTCTCCATTGACCTTAGGGGTGTCTACTCATATTTGAGGGGCCACAGCGCCTTTGCTGGCATGTTGGCATCTACGGATATTTGAGATCCACGGAGTCCCCCGGATTGGGGGTCCCTGGCCTGACGGGCGCTGACGACCTCTCGCTCCCCACCTGTCTTCCCGCAGGAGCCCCGCAGCCTGGGCGCAGCCTCTCCGCCCAAGGCTGAGGCCAGCGCTCCCCGCCGCTTCCGGCGGGCAGCGACTCGAGGAGAGGCGGCGGGGGCTGTGCAGGAGCTGGCGCGGGCGCTGGCGCACCTGCTGGAGGCCGAACGGCAGGAGCGGGCGCGGGCTGAGGCGCAAGAGGCTGAGGATCAGCAAGCGCGCGCCCTGGCGCAGCTGCTGCGCGTCTGGGGCGCACCCCGCACCAACGACCCGGCGCTGGGCCTGGAGGACGACCCCGACGCGCCAGCCGCGCAGCTCGCCCGAGCCCTGCTCCGCGCCCGCCTGGACCCCGCCGCCCTCGCAGCCCAGCTTGTTCCCGCCCCTGCCCCCGCCCCGGCACTCAGACCCCGGCCCCCAGTCTACGACGACGGCCCCACGGGCCCAGATGCCGAGGACGCCGGCGACGAGACGCCGGACCTGGATCCGGAGCTGCTGAGGTCCCCCCCACAAGGGGTGGTCGGGGCGGGGGAGGGCGCCTATATCCCGGGAGGAGGAGGGCGAGGAGCGGCGGGGGCCTGCTTCACGGGATGGAGGTGCGAACACCTAGGTCCTGGAAGCCTGGGAGGGAATTTTCTAGTCCTGGACCTAGGGTGTGGAGGCAGAGATGCCTGGCCGGCTTCCTTCGTCCGAATGGGAGGGGGGGAAACTATAGTTTCAGGGATGGAAGGCGGAGACATCTGTCTCCAGGAAGCAGTGGGATGCCTGGGTGGGAGGAGGCTGCCAGGTCCCCAGGCGGTCCGGGGTAGCGGCGCTGTCCAGGTCCTAGGGCCGGGGCGTTGACGCACGGACACGTCCTCACTGCATTCCGCTCTGCTCCCCTGCAGGTATTTGTTGGGGCGGATCCTCGCGGGAAGCGCAGACCCCGAAGCTGTGGCTGCCCCGCGTCGCCTCCGCCGAGCCGCTGACCAGGACCTGGGCCCTGAGGTCCCCCCTGAGGGCGTGCTGGGGGCCCTGCTGCGCGTAAAGCGTCTGGAGACCCCCGCACCCCAGGCCCCAGCGCGCCGCCTCCTGCCCTGAGCACCGCCTGGATCCTGCGCGTACTCCGGCGGCCCAGGACCGCCCCGCCCCTGACACCCCGACAGCCACTGTTGCTGCCCTGGAACCCCAAGATCCCCACCCCTGACCCCACAATAAATATGATCTGAAGCAACTATGTGCTTGTTTGAGTGGCAGTGTCTAGGGGGACGGTGGACTGGGTGGAGATTGCTGCCCTCAGACGAGGGAAAAGGGGCCCCTGCCCTCCATCCTGCACTTTTGAGACAACCCCTGCCTCAGTCTTCGCTTCTCCTCACTGGGGAGATATCCATATGGACAATGGCAGTGCCCACCCAGATTCTGTGCCGTTTCTAGGCCTCGCTTGGGAATGGGGAGCCCAGAAGGCTTTGAAGCCACTTTCAGCGGCATCTTCTGGGGGGTCCATCCTCCTGGGGACCAAGTGGTGGTCAAGGGGTGGCTGTTTGTGCGGCATGTGAGTAGAGCTTGGGCGGTGCTGGCACGGCCACTTGCACACATGAGCTCCTGCCTCCTGATATGGGGAGGGGCTACCAGCAGGAAGAGAAACAGAGTGGGCTGCCACTCCCGGCCAGGGGTCAGCCCTCCCAACACCATCACCTCCTGGCATGGAACTCTCTGGGCCTTGAGAAAGTGTATTAGTCAAGGTAGGAGCATAGGATGTATTTGTTAGTTTGATATGTAATGTTTAGTTATATAGTATAGAAGCCACTCTATCTGTACTCTTACCCCAGCCCTGAAGGTATTGGGAGTTGGCGTGGTAACTGGTTTGTGGTCATGGCCTGTGCACTGGCTATTCCCTCTGTCCCTAGTTATCCACAAGTTTTTGCCCAAATGTCACCTACTCAGTAAGGCTTTCCTTGACCTCCCTGTCACTCTATTCCTTTGCCTGCCTTTAATACATAGCCTTATGTTATATCTACAAGTGCAGGGGTTTTTAGTGTCTTGCTTGCCTCTATATCTTTTGTACCCAAAGCAGGGCCTGGTACACAGGGGTCTCCCCCACATTTCTTGAATGAAATAATTCTCACAATTCAAGTAACATTCTCCCCAGTCTCATTCCCACCCACATAACACTTGGCATGGAGGCAGGTTTGAAACCTAAGAACACTATTTAATTTTGCACAAAATCAACTTGACATAATATATAACCAACGCTACGGCCCCACATTGCCAAAAAGCCCATCACCAAAAGAAAACCTCCCCAGGAGAAGGGTCCATCTATCCCCAGTACACCGACAGTGTCCCACACAGCTAGTTGCTGGGGTCGGGGAGCGGGGTGGGGGGGGCGGGCGGGGGGGCGGGTCTCAAGTGAAGGAACCACCACCCTGGTCTGGGGGAGGGTCCACTTTTCTAGACCAAGAACTTCAGGCCACGGAGCAGCCACAGCGGCACATGGCCTTCTGGTGCCGGCCTTTATCCCCACCTGGCCCTGCCATGGCCTCCTTTGCCATGGCCTCCCGGACTCTTTGGATCTCATGGATGAGCAGGGAAAAGGCCTCCTCCACACCTTGGCGTGTCTTGGCTGAGGTCTCCACAAAAGGGGCCCCCCAGCTCTTTGCGAGGGCTGCAGCAGCAGCACGAGCATCTCCGGTGGTGGTCACAAGGTCACACTTGTTGCCCACAAGGACGAGGGGCTGGGTGTGGTGCGGGCCCCAGGTGGCCCGCATCTGCTGCAGCTGGGCTAGAGACGAGGGGTCATCGAGGGCGAAGACACCCAGCACACCATCCCCAATCGCCACACACTGGTCACGCAGGGCCCGATGAGTGGCCTGCCCCGCCGTGTCCAGCACATTCAGAATGCAGCCTCCGTGGTCCAGGGCCATCTCCTTCCAGTAGGAATCCTGGATGGTAGGGTCGTGGTCTTCCACGAAGCACTGGTGGTTCAGCTGGATGGTCAGCGCGCTCTTTCCCACGCCACTCGCGCCCACTACCACGGCCTTGTACTCAGGCAGCTGCTTGCCAACACCCCTGGAGGGTGCCCGAGCCCTGTGGCTCTGCTCCTGGGAGCTAGGGCTCCAGGTGCCCAGGCCCAGATCAATCATGCTAGGCTTTGTTGGCAGCGCCATGGCCCCAAGTGGGCAGCTCAGGGAAGAGATGTGGACAGCAGGCCCTGCAGGTGGAAAGAGAAGAAAGACAATGGGGGTGGGGGGTTTGGAGGTTAGGTGAGACCATTTAGGGGCAAGGGGACAGTTGGGTGTCATCGAATCAACATTTATTGAGTGCCTAGTGTGTGCTAATCACCTAATATACTATAATACATTATTTATGTTGTTTATTCTCTCTCACTCCCTTTTACAACATAAACGCTGTGAGATTTTAAAAACAGCTTAATTAATTTATATACCGTAAAGTTAACCTAGCTAAAGTGTACAATTCAATGTTTTTTAGTACATTCACAGAGTTGTGTGACCATCGCCATAGTCTAATTTTAGAACATTTCCAGTCACCCGGAAAAGACACCCCCTGCCCATTAGCAGTCCCTCCCCATTCCGGAGGGAGGGCAGGGATTTCGTCGGTTTTGGTTTCGGATTGTGTCACCATTGGACCCCAACCTGGCACACTGCTAGTCATAGTTTGTGCCGAGCAACATTCCTGCCCCCAGGAGTTTACGTTTTAAAAGATGGAGACAATAAACCAAATAGGTAAGCAAATGATGAGGTCTGTTAGCCATTGTCATTGGAATTTAGTCTTTATTACTCATTCAACATACAGCTGTTGAGAACCTACTGTGGGGCAAGGACAAAGAGGTGGGGAAAAAACAGATTAAGAAACCCCTGGCCCTCATGAACGTGACATTCTAGTCAGGAAGACAGACAACAACAAAGATAAATCAGTAAAAAATGTTTCAGCAATAGGTGATAAGCAGGCAGAAGGTGCTTGGTTAATGTTAGGTATTTCTATTATAATTTAATTTTCATTCATTAATTCGAGGACATTCCTGCGTGCCAGGCATTGTGATGGGTGCGGGGATGGGGGGTGGGGTGGGGGGCGGGGATATGGCTGAGAACAAAATAAAGTCCCTGCCCTTGGGAGGGTTAGATTCTGAAAGCGAGAAAGAGACAATAAACAAGATAAGCAAGTAAATTACCATGTAGTTAGAAGAGGATGGGCACACAGCAGGTACTCAATTAGCGTTCACTATTAATACTAAGTCACCATTAACCCATTCAATACACATCCTGGTCTTGGTTCGGTGTGTGGCCTCAGGAAATGCATCATAATGGCTGCGGCCCCAAGTATCCCAGGAAGCCCTGGGACAGTGGCAGCTGGGGGGCAGGTGGTGGGTTTGAGGGATCCACAGGGGGTAGGGGTGGAGGGGGAGTTCTGTGGAGTTTGGGATCCGGGGGTCAGGGCTGGGGGGCTAGGTCCCAGGTGGGTATCTAGCTGTGGGGCCCTCAGCCCAGAGAGGATCCCTGAAAAGAGTTGTGGAATGTGCTCGCCCAGGAAGAAGGGGGCCATGATGAGGAGATGTAAGCAGAGGACAGAGCTGAGGGGAGGGGGGCAGCAAGGAGGCCAGGGCAGTAGTGCGGGCCAGCAGTGGGGGATCTGGACAAGCCGGGCGGGATTCAGAGATGTTCCGAAGGCAGGCCTGACAAGATTTGCTGAGGGACTGGGAAGAAGGGGAGGGAGTCCAGGCGACTGGAGAGGTGGGTGCCGTCACCCGAGGCAGGGCCTGGTGAGGGGGCCCTCGCTCTGGGCGGGGGGTCGCTGGGGCTGACACCGAGAGCACCGGACACTGGCAGCGGAGCGCCGGCCGACCTCCCGACACCTGGCGGGGCGCTAGGCCGACGGTGCCATGGCCGCTTCGTCAACAAGGAGCCGTGAGGCTCGGGGAAGTGAGCCGCGGTGACTGGCCCGAGGTCACACAGCCCATGGCAGGGCGACACGGGAATACGGAAGCAGCGCAGTGCCAAGTGCCAGTGGAGTACTGTCGGGGGCCTCTCCCCCACACCCGTACGCCTTCCTTTGTGTCACCTCCCTGACCTGAGGGGAGCAGGGGGCGCCCCCCCAAGCACAGCCCCACCTCATTCCAGGCTGGCCCGGGCCCCATACACGTATCCCCTAAGCCTGGGTGGCTGGCCAGCGTGGGGCTGGGAGGGGGGACCCCCAGTTTCATCCCAAAGCCGTGACCCCGTGCTCGGCCTGGACCACCCCGCTCAGCTCCCGGCTCCCCGCTCGGCGCCCACACCCTCACCCAGGCCCGTCCTTACAAAGGCGGTCCAGGGTTGCTGGCCCCTGAGGATGGGAGGAGACAGGGGAGGGTCCCCAACACCCGACCTCGGCCATACCCCCACAGCCCTAAGTGGAAGGACCTCTCAGGTCGGTGCTGGGGGGCCTGGGCGGCCCGGCTCACCTGTGTCCCGGGAAGGCCGGTGGCGCTGGGACCCGAACCCTCTGCTGCTCTGACAGGACTGACAGGGAATGAGACGTTGGTCCCAGCTGGGGGTATGGGGCGAGGTGGGGATGGGCGGGGAGGGAGTGCGCATGCGCAGCCAGCCGCCCTTGGACCCCTCCGCCGGCTCACCCCTGTCCCCCGCCCCGGGGTGAGTGCTGGGTCACTGCCCGCCAGGCAAGTGTGCGCAAAGGAGGTCTTCTTGGGGTGCGCTGTGAGCGCTGACCCCCGCTGTGTGCCCCGTGCATCCTGCTGCACCTCTTCCTTACCTTATCCCCACCTGGGACGTGATTTTGTGTTTTTACTGCGTGGGGGGTGTGTCAGATTTTTGACCTGAACGTCCAGACTTTGCCAAATGTTTTGTGAGGGCCTAAGGCCCTGGAGCTTGTGCTGCCTTAAGTGGGCTTTTTGGTAGCGTGGGAGAGAGTTGCGTCCGGTCCTGGAGGGAGAGAGTTGCAGAGGAGGGGTTATTTTGTAAAGGCAGAAAGAACCTGATTTGAGATGGACGTGTTCCAAGCTACACCATTTTGTAGACTCCCTTGCAGCTATGGCAGTCATGTGACACAATTCTGACCAATAAAATGTAAGCAGGAGTTGTGAGGGCAGGGGCAACCACAATGCTCCTTCAAAATGGATGACTGAGCTGACCCTTCCCCGTCCCATTCTCCTCTTCTTGATTGGGTGGGGCTCTGGTGGTCATCTTGGGGTCAGAGGGTGGCCAGGAAGAAAAGTCCAGGAAACCTCAGCCCAGACTCCTTTGAGTTGCCGAAGCAATTCTCATTATGTGGGAGAAATAAAACCCTAAAATTATCCCACAATTCCCCACCCTTGGTCAGTGGTAGACACTCCTTCCCCCAGGAAGCTACCCATGACGACCAAATCCAAGTATGTTAAACCTGGACCCCCCAACCCCCAATCAAGACAAAGACAGATGAAGACACGGAGGCCTAATGAAGACACTTCATGATAGTTTTCTTGCCTTCCCAGCCCAGGGTGTAGCTGGGACTGGCTGTGAGGCTCCTATTTCTAAGGCAGGAGCTCATTTTCTCACAGATTCCCACCATTTAATCTCTTATGGAGCCAGCCAAGCTGCTTGCTCTATTTCCAGTTAGTTTTTGGATGAGCAGGGGGTTGACCTGATAAAGACCCACACCCTCATTCCTTCATTACTCATCAGCCCTGTTGGCCAGGAGGGTGAGCTTCTTTACCCACTCAAGATTAAAAGCTTTCTCCAAGTTTTGTAATAGCTTGTACTTTATTACATATGCAACCCCGCCATACCTGCCAGTTGATCCCCCTCCCCTCCAAAGTATCATCTTTATATCAGCCCCCTCTTGGGGTCACTGAGCTGCTCCTCTTGCCTTCTGGAGCAGAGTAGATGGAGTCCCTTGAGCAGGCAGTGGGAGATCTATAATTGATCACAGTCCTCTTACAAATATATACACTTAAATCAGCACCCTGGGGGAGTTGTAAAGGGTCTTCAGGATGGGATGGAGTGAGGCTACCCCTCATCAAAGGTATAGCTTGGAATGAACTAAGGCTGGTCTATCTTGGGTCTCAGAAGGTGAAGAAGAGGAGCACACTCTGGGATTTAGTGTGAGTGGAGCATGTTCTCCCCAAACTTGTTCTGGTGGGCGATGTTCTTCACAGCTAGGAGAGCCTGAGGAGGAGGCAAGAGAGGGGAGGTAAGAGTGAGCACCCCTCTACCTCAGCCAGGAGGCTACCCCCACTCCAGCCCTCAACCGCCCTGTCTCTTGGCCTATCCCACATGCAGAAGGGTCTCCATTCGCCCCTTATGCAATCACAAAAGGTGTGGGGGGGCAGGGGGGAGTGTGAGTGAGTGTGCACACATTAGAGGGTCTGCCCAGGGCCCACCTTGTGGTGAACGTAGGCCTGACAGTGGTAACACCAGGTAGACAGGTCGGCGTAGCTGAGTACCAGCGGGTGTCCCGAGCCTTCATGGTGTTGGAGCATATGGGCATTGATGTAACGACTGCAGTAGACCTGAGGTTGGGGAGCGAGCATTGGGTGGGGAATCAGCACCCACCTGTGGTTTGCTCCTGGGCCAACCTCCACCCTATCCCTTTCCTCGGCTGCATACCTGGTAGCAAGACAGACACACCCAGTTCTCCTGGAGGGCTCCACAGTCCTGACAAGGTTGGGTCACATTCAGGCCTGCTTCAGGTACAGGGCATACTGCCACCAAATGGGGACACCAGGGCAGTGGTGTTACAGCGTAAAACATGGCCTGGGGGTGGGTGAAACTGAGTAAGGTAGGGACTCCACCTCCCCATTATATGTCCCTATAGCCCATGCTCCTACGTGGAGGCACAAATGGGCATGAGAAGGAAGCCACTGTTCTAGCCTCTCCCAGAGCTCACTTGGTCAGTGTCGGCATGGTCTCCAGTGACATGCATCAGTACTGACTCATTCATGTCCTGACCTCCAGCTGCCTCTCCTAGTAGCTCCTCCTCTTCTGGGGGTTCCTATACACACAGAGATAAGAGATGAATCCGTGAGGCCTGATTCTTGTCCCTTCTTCCCCCTACCTGGGTGTGGTGGGCCTTACCTGTGCCTTGTCTAGTTCCAAGGTCCTGAGATTTCCAGTCAGTTTACTGGGGGATATCTGGGTTGTGGCTCCTTGCATGGGTGACGCTGGAGGAGTCTGATTGTCAGTGCATGAGGCTGGAGGGCTTTGGATCAGCTCAGCTCCCCCCACAGCCTCCTCCGAGGTGGTCTGGTCCAGCGTGGCATCCCCTGTGGCTGCCTCTGAGGTGGCCTGGTTCAGCGCAGCAGCTCCTCCCATGGCTGTCTCTGATGACTGGTCCTGAGTGAACTCCATCACAGCTGTCTCTGACGTAGTCTGGCCTGGAGTGGACTCTTTCACAGATGTTGCTGAGGTGGCCTTCCCTGTGCCTGCCTCCAGAATGTTCCCTTCTGGCATGGTCATCCCCTTGGCTGACAAAGGATTGGCTGCCTGGGGTGCCTTCTTGGTGATCAACTTAGAACTGGAGGGTCCCTCTTTATCTTTGACCTCTGGAACCATGGAAGGGAGATCCTTGAGTGTGAGTGCTATCCCTTCTCCCACCTCTAATCCCTGTCCTCCCCTGAGCCCCCACTGCCCGCAGTTCCCCTCACCCACTCACTTGTGACCCGCAAACTGCACCAGTATCTGCGATGGACTTGGATGGTCTCAGAGATCGAGGCCAGGGCCCCTGACAGTGGGGGCCGCAGCAGGGTCAGCAGGGGTGGCGGGTCCCCAAGGAGGGAGTGGGTGCAGGCGGCCATGGACTCCGAGATGGATGTCAGGTTATAACCACCCTTTGTTAAGGAAAAGAGGAGGGAAAGGTATGATGAGGGGGGTCCTCAGGGAATTTGGGACATGAGATGTCCTGCCTCCCAGTCTCCCCTTGGGGTCCTGCAAGTCTGGAGGGTAGGTACTGGGGACAAGTAAGTAGAACCCACATCTGTCAGATGGACAGCGCCCACTATGTGAGGTGGTTGTTGAGGGGGACAGAATTGTGACATAAAGTGCAAGATAATAATAACCACAAGAATGACAGTACTGATGGCAACATTAGTAAGCGCTGACGTTCATTAAGTGCTTGCTGTGTGCTAGACCCTATTCTAAGCACTGAATCCTCACAACCGCATGTGCTGAATCCGTGCAGGAACCTGCCTTCACAGTATGGGAACCCCTGGCTCTACCCACAGAAGGCGCTGCCCTGCCCTGGTACAGGAACAACTGGTCTTTCTCTCTATGTGAATCTCTATCCTGACCTGGTATGGGAACCCTCTTTTCTCACACTCTACAGGAACCCCAGTCTCTGCTCTTTTTCCAGATAAAGTAACTGCGGCTCACAGTGGTTAGATGACTTGTCTGAGGTCTTAACAGCTGGTAAGAGGCAGCACTGAGGTTGGAACCTGGGCTACCTGAGGAAAGGGTCCACCACCCTGCCCTGCCACAGGCAGGCCTGGGCACACAGTGGGACATCTTACCAGCCAATTAATCTCTCTGTGACTTATTGTCCTCATCTGTGAAGGAGTACAAATGACAGCACAGAAGGTTGCTGAGTGGGTTAAACTAATGTACGAACAACGCATAACCATAAGAAGCCACAGCTCTTGCACAGGGCTTACCATGTGCCAGGCGCCCCTCCACGATTGGCCATCCACACCTTACAGACAAGGAAACTGAGGCACAGGGGGTGGGGGCACTGAGTACTTTACAAAAGGTCAGTGAATTTCCTTTGTCTCAGGATTTTGTTGGAGGTAGTTCAAGTAGAGGTGAAAAGTAAAGACTCTGGAGCCAGGCTGCCTGGGTTCAAGGCCTGGCTCCATCATTATTAAATGTGTGACCTCCAGCTAGTCACCGCAGCTCTCTGTACCTCAGTTTCCCTGATCTTGAGAGAGGAAAATGATGAGGTCAGTAGATCTTACCTCACAAGGCTGCTTTGTTAAGTAAATGCATTAATAATGCACGTAAAGTGCCAAGAAGAGTGTCTTGTACATAGTGAGTGCTCAATTAAAGTTGCTAATGCTGGTGTTATTACTAATGCCCACTGTGTGCCCACAACCCCAGGTGGGGACATCCAAGTCTTCCCGACCACCCTCCCACCGCAGGAAGAGGGACCGAGACAGCTACCTCTAGGATAAGGATAATGCGGCCATTGGCCAGGCCCATCAGCAGGTGGGTGAGGTGGGCATAGCCCTCAGGCGACACCTGGCAGCTGCCCAGTGGGTCCCCCCGGGCAGCATCGAAGCCAGCTGAGACCAGCACCAGTTCTGGGTTAAACTGAGGCAGGGAGAGAAGAGACACATGAGCATGAGGGTGGGGGCATGGGGAGGCAGCAGTTCAGGGAGACCTAGAGACACAGACAAGGACAAACGAAGACATGGCAATGCAAGTCAGAGAGATGGAGACATGGGACCTGGAGCCCGGGAGACACAAGACCAGAGCCCTGAAAATAGGGAGGGGAGGACATGGAGACACAAGAGAGATTCAGAGACGTGGACACATCAGACACAGATTTAGAGACCCAAGATACAGAGATATGGAGATGTGAGAAACAGACGGACAGGGTCATGAAGCAGAGTTGTGAGATGTGGAGACTCATGTCAAGAGATAGTGACATGAGACGGAGAGATATGTCCTCACATACACACCCAAGGGTGAGACCAAGAGGCACACACTCCCCTCCCTGGGTCAAACATGGGACACATGGGCACAACACAGGGTTTTACACACATGGTACCAAAGAAAGGTGCACACATGTTTCCATCACAGAAGATGACAACACAGGTGCCACATACAGAAGATGGTCACATACAGTCACATACACCCACACACAATCAGACAGTCTCACACAGACCAGACTATACATAGTACTAGTCACACACGCACACACAGTTTCTCAGAGGGAACAGTAATCCACAGCTACCCCTGTACAAACACAGTCATACACATGCCACCACCACAGTCACAATAGTCACATGTGCTGTTGCACCCACAGGAGGTGGTCGCTTGCACATGGTCACACACACTATTTCATAGAGTTACACACACACAGAGATAGTCACAGCCAACTGTGCACAGACA